CCACAGATCTGTTAGCAGATACACAAATATATACCAGTATCCAACAGCCAAGCCGCAACTTGTCTCCTCCATTCCTCCCTGTCATTTTTTGTTACTGAACAGCCAAAGAAAAGGCCAGGAATGGAACAGATGGGTGAAGTCAAGCAGGGAGACAGAGAGTTAACAAGCCAGAAAACAAAGGGAATGCATCCCCTGCCCTGTGAGGGAGGGGCATGCAAGCAGGAACTGCCCCGACAGATACCACATTTCCCAGCATGCCCTGCTGCCTCTGGCTCATTTCTCTTCTCCAAGGCACTCTGAGTAGATAGCAGACAAGAACACTTCTCCCTGCCAAGACGTTTCAATTCTATCCTGAAGCAACTTCTGTTAATGTCCTCCCCAGAGTCCAATGTGGCACCAACGTTCAGAAGCCACACCTTTCCCCCTCCCACCCACCAGCATCCATTCACCAGTGCTGTTGAACACAGGCTCCCAAACCAAACACTCTTCACCATAGAAAGCAAAGTCTCCACATTCCAGACATGTGTTTACAAAAGCCATTGAATTACAGAAGCACGGAATGCAAGAGAGGCTTATAGGATGTCTAGTCCAGTACACCCTGTCTCTTGACAGCCTGATCTTCAGCACTCTTTCCAATGTAAGATTTGCTAAGCAACAACGGCATGGCCTCTTTCAGGTTATGTCACCCTAGTCAGATTTAACTAGGCTGGAACTCCGAGAACCCAGACTGAATAAATCCACAGAGCAATTGGCACTTGCAGAAATAGCTGGTTCCTTTCCCTTATCTGCTTTCGTATAACATTGTGATGGAATATAAGCTCATGCATTCAATGAAATCCATTTCACTTGACATTTGTCAGAAGAAAAAAGTGAAAAAAAAAACCTCAGAGGAAGGATACAAATGGACAGCAAGAAGAACAATGGGACCTGATCCATATCACTCCTTTTCAGTCATCCCATGATGAGATCAGGATGAATCTGGGTAATGGAAAGGGACACTCCAGCTCAGTCACTGATTTTTGAAGGTTTCCAAAATCATGGTTGCCCAGGAAGCCAGTGTCTGCCATCAGGCAAATACTTCCCCAAACGCATAACAGGATGGCTGAAACAAAGGCCCCCTAAGGGTCTTGCTTAAATAAGAAATCAACACTCTAAACAAAATTATGCACTTTGCAGTGTAAAGCTATGAGCCAAAGGTCTTCAGCCTCTGCCTATATGATCTTTTCTCAGTTGACATGGAATAAGATTATATTGTTAATTTATAATATTTTAATTGATTTATTTGTGAGCCGCCCCGAGGCTTCGGCGAATGGGGCGGCGTAGAAATAAATAAATAAATAAATAAATAAATAAATAAATAAATAAATAAATAAATCCTGCATGGCATATTGCACCCTTACTTCATCTCTGCATACAATATGGAAGTGCTCACAGGATGCCTGTTGACCACATCTTGGACACAATCATGTCCGTGCAGTGCAGCACTTGCACACATGGTGCTGGTGACAACCATCTGGTCTTACATCCTACATATCAAAGTTCCAAGTTAATTCTTATTGCCTATGTTCTTGCTCCCCATATTGAGCTCCATTTTCTGGAACTGCTGAAAAACAAGCTGAAATATGTAGCTCACAGCAATGCTGAGCTTGTAAAAAAATGTCAGTGAAGTGTTCGCTGCGACCCTACCCGCTGAGTCTTTTAAATAACTATAAATGATACACTACTGAACACTGCAAAGGCAGGAGTAGCCTAGTTGGTTCACAACAGCCTGTCAAAGAACTGTTTAGAGTGTTTAAAACAGAGGGTGGAGTGTTTAAAAATCAGAGGTGGATGAAACATAGGTGATAAAAGCAGCAAGGCCCGCAGTGAATATGCTGTGGCTGCAGGTCAACTTTGCTGAAGAAATGGCTTGTTTCTGAAAAAGAAGTGGTCATTTCTGAAAAAAACAAGTTCAGTTTGATTCAGCAGGCAGACTGTTGCTCTGGATCTGGATTCAACTTTTTTGCTTCTTTAAATACTCACATCCTATTTTATGTGAGTGTAGCAGCAATCCTTACAAAGATATAATATTGAAGCTATTATTTTTCTCAAAAAGCAGATAAAGCTATTATTCTGGAAAACTCTGCTTAAGATGCCACACCAAAGTCATTTTCAGAAGACCAGTTAAAAGAACAGCTCTTTGCACACATGCTCCTGAGCAAGGGGGCAACCACAGATATGACTCAGTTATTGCTCAACAGAAACTGTTCAGCCTTGAAACTTACCAGCTATGTCTCAGTCAAACCATTTCCAGACTGACCTACACCAGTGTTGTACAAGGATAAAAATGAGATAATACTGTGTTAATGTGCCCTGAGATCTTGAAAGCAGGGAGGGATACCAATGAAATTGCTAGGGTAGCAAAAGGCATGCAGGCTTAGGCTTCTAAGATGGAATAAGCAGAAATCCAACCGGAGGCTAGAGCCTCTGTCAAGTAGCAACCACAATTTTTAAAATAAAGAGTCAAAGGAAACAGTGACATAACAGGGAAAGAAGAGTTTTTAGCAGATGCATATAGTTCTCAGCGCCCAACAGGGGAAGACACTCAAACACTATTCACACTCAACCATCAGAATGTTTCGATATTTTGTATATTCTTGTTTTAACTGTATGCTAGTCACTTTGCTTTTTAATAAGTGTGTGTGTGGGGAGAATATAAACATTTAAAACCAATAAAACAAGCACTGTGAGGTATAGTCAAGATTTAACAGGAATTGTTGTTGGGTGAGAGAGCAAACATTCATACAAACTTGATATAAACATATATGAATGACCAACAAAGTTGAATTTTAGCAGCACATCCTAATTTTTAGCTAATCTTTATTGCCTTTTAAAAATGCTTTCTCATGTAACACTTTGAAGATTCTCTGAGGTGGAAAAGTGGCTTATGAAAAATCTATTATTAGAAAATAAGCAATTTAGAGTGAATGTTTAGAAAGAAAAAAATCCTATGGCTCCCAGCATCCCCCTGCTACATCCCAACAGCCAGTATAGCTGGCTGGAGTATGCTGGGAGTTGTAAGGGGTGGGTTTGTTTGTTTTTTAAGTCTAAACATGCATAGGATTGCATTCTTACACAGGAAATCTAGGACAGGACTGCTGAGAAAGGAATAACCCCAAGACACTGTATGGAAGAGACTGAAGCTGGAAAACATTGAAATTGGTAAATCTTGTATCAGTGCCAGAACAGTAAGCCAGAGATGGAGATTGCAATGTGATACCTTGCTGGATGTGAGGAAAGCCAACTACAATGCAAAGGAGGCAGTGTACTCAGAGATATCATGTTACAGATCTCTCAGGGTACAGCTCTTTTCAGTGTAGCACTGGAAGCAAAGGCACACCTAGAACACTTAATTTGCTTCTGGGAACATCATTAAGTGAATGAAATAGAAGAAACAAAACAGTGTCTGGTTATGAGAAGAGATCTATGGACATTTAAAGGATGGACTATTTGTTTTGAAAAGGAAAGGGAAGTCAAAGCAGTGAAAGACACATCATTTAAATAAACTGTCTTCAAAGGCAAGACTGCTCTCTCAACACTCCCTAATCTGTAGGCCATTCCCCTTCCCAATCACAATAATACAGAAGAAAGCATGCAGTGTACTTTTAAATTCTAACTGCCCTTCAAGACCTTTGGATGGCAGTCAGAGCTACATAGGAGATACATAATCTCCCATCTCAGCATACAATCAAGTTGTTATGGAAAGTCTTGCCCCTTCACATGCTCACCCACCTCCATAAGTCTGCTTCTCTACCCTGCCTAGACACAAGAATGTGCCAACCAGAGTTCCTAGGCTGTCTGCAGTCAGAAGTTTTCACAATCTTACTCCTTGCTGTTGTTACGCACTGGCAATTGTCTTGGTGCTCTTACTCCTCACCTCCTCATGACCCTTGTTGTAAATCACAGCCTCATAAGTATTTTTTTATATCAGGGATTACCAACTTTTGTTTCATAGGCAGTGCTCAAGGGCTCAGAAATGCATTGGTTACTCAAAGAAACTCACCTGAGAACAGTGAGCTCCATTACAAAACTGCCACAAGTTACAGAAAGGGCTTCAAAATTACAGAGTGTATGCACTCAGACATATTGTTACATATGAGCCCAATTCTGGATGCCTCTACCCTAGGAACAGGGTCCTTCCTCTAAGAAGTCTCCAAGTTATGGAATATTCCCATAAGAAGAATGCTAAATCCATATTAGCTTTATTGGGCCAACTCAAGTAAAGCTTTATTTACAAATAGCTTTATTGGGCCAAATCAGAGGTCAAAGTATTGTGCAAGCTTTTAAAGTCTTCAAACTCATAATGTGCAAGATGGTACACTCATGCTGGGTATCGTAATCTAACACATGTCCCTCTATTTCTTAGGCCTAGCTAAAACCATTTTATTTTTCCTTTGCCCTTCACCAAGTAATAAACCTTTGTCATTTGCTCCTTGATTATCTTGCTGCTGCTTTTTTCTGTTTCTCTTTTGTGTTGGTTAATTATTTTATTTTGAATAGTAACCTGCCTTGAAGACTCTGCAGTGGAAAGCCTACATATAAAGGTTTACCATAATCATAAGCATCACATACCTGATATATTCTACTGAGAGAGAAAAAAACATGATTAAGTAGTGTGAGATTTATAACCATTTGAAACAGTCCCCTTATGAATATAGTTGTAGGCAAACCTGATTATACCCTTTAGGAATATAGTAACAGCTAGAAGGGGGCCAGCTGAAAATCCTTTAGATGAAAGACCTGGTTGGCCATCCCTGTATAAGTTGCTTCTATTTGAAAGAGCTGTTTTTCCTCTGATCTGCTCTGGTCTCTGCCACCTCAAAACAAGTTAACAGGACATTACATGGCTGAAGAAAGCACAGAGTAACTTAGGAGTTTTTGCTTGTCCCAAGGTACTACTGTTGCACAATCATCTCAGATGCTAAAACGTAGAAGATGCATTCCTACAAAGAGAAACTCACCCAAATAAATGTCTCCAAAGGATCCGCTACCAATTTTTCGACCCAGCCGATACTTGTTCCCCACTCGAAGCTCCATGATTCAGTTGCTCTGGGAATAAGCAGAAGACATGCACAGTAAAGTTAGAAAAGACAACTTAAGCCAGTATATACCATATGAAGATGCAATATTTATTCCTAGACACTCTAAGAAAGGGTTTGATTCCCAGATTCAGTGCATCTTGCATTGATACAGTAAAATCTGGGCTCCATTTTCTGTCAACCCCAAGATGAACCCCTAACATTCAACTTAGCTAACAGTACCCTGGTATTTCTTTAATAGGGTGGTTAAAATATTTGTGATGATTCAGGAGAACAGTACCACCACACAGGTCACCTGAGTTAACTTTAAATACAAATCCATCTTCAGTGGCACACAGACTCAGAAGCAAATCTCACTGAAATCAATGAAAGACTTAAAAATTAACATATTTAGGATCAGAATATTCACTTGAGAAAAAACAGAAGAGAACCGAATGGTAGAAGAAACTAACCCACTTCAGAAATTAGCCCAATTCAGAATTTACACCAGGCACCAATTCCTGATTTCAAATTGAATCAGAGGGGAGCAAAAGGAAGAAATAGGGACTAGCTCTCTAAATTCCTATTCCCTAATAGCATTACTAGTCTACTAAGCAGGTTCCTGCTATGCTTGCTCTCCATACAAATGTATGAGGCAGATTTCTCCATTACATTTTTCACAACATTCACTGCTAGTTCTTGGGCTCAAGTCACATTTGTATGCCTCTAAAATTGGACAGTAGACCCACTGTATCTTTCCGCAAAGTATATTCGTTAGCGTGTGATCCAGCCAAACCTGAGCCTTAGCACCTTTGGTTTCTATGGTGGATGCAATACCTTTGCAAAGCCTTTGCCAAAACAAATTCTGGACACTCGCCAACAATATGCCCCTGGATGGGAACCATCTTGTGTTTTCTCCCTGTTCAAATGAGATATCTGTCTAAAGAAGGGGAGGAGAGACCAATGCTCCTTTTAGAGGATATTGCCATATGGTTAATTTATGTAGTGCATGTTTATTAATACTTTCCCTTTGCAGGCTTTGCTCTCATGGGGTGGGCTGCATGGAAGAACAGGCTAAGATTAAAGAGGATTCTCTGGCTCAGTGGGACACATGAGCTATAGCCATGAGTTACTAGAATAAGACCTGTAACTGGTGCCCTCGTCACATCCAATGCATGCTCGCCACATTAATAATCAATGTATAGAGAGAAAAAGGTAAGTTCCAAACATATTTGTATGCTCCTTCTATGCTTTAACAAATTATCATAAACCCTACCATGCATGGTTCCAGGCATACAAAACACACCAGGACACAGGAGCTACTGCCACAACATGCCTCCAATATCTTCAAGTTTACTTATCGGTAAGGACTACAAAATCACCCCTTTGCATTTTAAAATTCAATCTAAATGCACAATGGAAGTAGAACCCCAGAAAAAAGAAGCAGAATATGTATTTGAGGGAAAGGATTTCCACACACACCCATAATCTGGTGACACAACTGCACATACAAGTATTCTGCCAAGATTCTATGTTCCTATAGATACTATATAATTAGCGGAATAAGAACTGGAAAGAGACAATGCCTTTTAGAAGAGACTCTGGAGATACTCAGTCTCTGAAAGTTAGGAGTTTTTTTAGGTTTCTCTGCCAGCTTGGCTCAACCACATGATCCAGGCTTGCAGCATGAAGCAGGGCTCAGTATCTGAGGGGATACTCATCTCTAGCAGCAGATCCTAGTTCAGGTCACTAGTGGACAACATTTCCACTGATTTTTCCGCTAGCTGTGACATTTCAACTTCCAGCAAAACCTCTTGGTGCTGGGGTATCCCCACACAGCTTTACAATAATACTTCCAACTCCCAGCCCTCCAAATCAAAAAAAAAATTAAAAGCATTTTTCCAGATCATAGAAGCAAGAGAACAACAAGTTTTTAAAAAGAAACAAAACTAGGCACAGAAACAAAGAACAAGACTGCATGAAGCAAAAGCTTTGGGCAGAGGGATAACCAAAGGCAGCAACACCAGTCCATGCCAATGGCTACAGGCAGCTGGTCGCCTTAGGAAAAGCTTCTAGGTGTCTAAAGAAGTGTGTGTGTATGGGGTGGGGGAATAAAAGACTACCTTATCCTACCTCCACCATGACCACATTAGTCTCCAATTTCTCTTTTTAAATAGAGCTAGCTTTTGTGTGCCTTCCCCAAACTAGACCCAGAGCCTAACCCTAGGCAGACAAGATGCCAACCAACAATTCCCTTTGCTAGGGCTCCCACACATGGGCCTAACACACACATTCTGCATGAGTGGATGCTTATAATATATTAATATCCTCCTCTCTGATACACACACACACATGCTCACAATAACTCTAGAAAGTTACAACCCAGCCAGCACCATACATTCACACACACAACTCAAACCTACTGTACCTTATGAAAAATGTACAATCACATTATATAAACATGCATACAGGCACATACACAGTAGCCTCTACATATCTGGTCTGCAGCACTACAAGATAACACCCACACACACACACACAAGAGAATCACCTGGAAGAATGACTGTAAATTAGAGAACTTCCATACTAGGAAGTATGATTTACTAGGAATGGAGAAAGTACCCAGGGCTACCATAGGCCAGATTATCTGAGATCTGACCAGATAGGTAATAGATGCTTCTAGGTTGGAGGAATAAAAGGAAGGGAATACTTCATATTAGCTTCAAATTCTGGGGTGGGGCGAGGAAGGGAAAAAGAGGAAAGATAAATAAGATCTGTTTTTCTAAAAGCACTGTGCCAAAACTGGGTTATTTCCTTCCTGTTTCCCCTCACTTGCCCCCCCCCCCCACTTTTCCCTTGGAACCAAGAGAAGGAAAGAAGGCAAAGAAGGGAGATCAGCCACATAACAAACGCAGACATTAGAAAGATATGAAATGTTGATAAGGTCATCTCATCATTCAGCCACTGGCAGAACTTAAAATTAAATCACCCTCACACAATGCTATGGACCTCTTTAACAAGCAAAAAAAAAATCACGGTTAAAAAAATATGTAGACAGCTGAGTATCAGAAATACGGAAAAACTTATTTTCTAGATAGCACCATGATAAAAAAGCTCGAGGATGGTACAAAGAAGCAACATTTTAGAAGAAATGTGAAGGGAGGAGGAAAGGAAGAGACTTAGCTCCCTTTCACCCTCCCTCCCCACACTTCCAATACCCGGTGCACAAAAGAAGGTAGAGTGATTTACAATAACATTCTCCTCTCTGCTCTCCAATACACACCCTATTTGTCCAAGATTAACACTTTTCGAAATATAATCCTGCTCACTATTGGTCCTCCCTGCCCCAGGAAAAACAAAAACAAAGCGGGCTGGGGGTTGAAGCGACGGAAGGGGGGCAGAAAGAGAGACACCCGTTACTCAGTGTTGATTGTTTGGGAATCATGCACGGATATTCATTATTGGACGCGGAAAGAAAGAAAGCAGTGATCATTTCGGGGGGCCCCGCGGGAAAGACCCCCCAAACACACACGCACACACTAAATTAGACATAATGGCGATCTCGGCCCCCTACCCTCAATAAGTCAAGTAAAAAGAAAAATAGTAACAGAAGCCTTTTTACATGTAGGCAAGAAAGGGGGAGACATACGGAAGGGGACGTGAGAAGGGTAAATATCGCAGAAGTCCCCAAATACGTCCCTCTGAAATCCAGGCGCGGAGGAGGGGGCGCCTACACGATCCTTTGTCTCCATCAGAAATAAAACAAAACAAGTCTCTCGTCGTCCCCCCTTTCTTGGCCTGTCACATAATTCCAGCGCCCTCCCCCCGACCCGAGTGCGTGTCTGTGCGCGAGAGAGCGAGCGCCTCTTCCCTCGCCCCCCCCCGCCTTATCCTCCTCTCTCAGCAAAAAAACAAAGAGACGGAGGGGCCGCCTTTCCCCCTGGATTTGCACCCCAAAACCTGCCCAGATCCCCCCAATATTTACCCGGCCTGGAAGGAGCCCGCCTGGCGCTGCTGCTCGCGGGGCTGTCAGGGAAGACAGACGCTGGGAAGGCAAGGATGACAGAGGATTAGGAAAGGCGGCGGGTCGCCCTAGCCAGCTCCGAGCGCCGCCGCCGCCGCCGCCGCTTCCTCCTTCTCTGCGCTCTGCCTGCTCAACTGCCTCCCTCCTTCCCCGTCAGCCTCTGTGCGTGAGTGTACAGCCGAGACTCGCGCGCGCGCACACGCGCCCTCTCATTGAGTTTCCATTGAGCCTCCGAGCCCAACCCACTGATGTCATCCTACAAAGCCCTGGGCCCTCCCTCGAAGGTTTAAAGGGACAGGTGCCTTGTTTTTGTTCCTGCCCAAGTTCGCCTTCGCCAGCGGAAAACCCGTTAAAGACACGCACCCGCGCCCTGGAAAAGCACCATCCTCATCAATCCCTTGCATCCCTCCAGAAAAGGAAAAGGAGAAGAAAGGGGCGGGGGGAGGAAAGGTCTGCCAACACAATATTGTAAACACAATCGCCTACCTAGTTCATATCTGCACCGCACTACCAAAACGACTGAATCCCGGTAGAAGTGCAGAGAAGGGATTGAAGGGATCCCTGCCTTGGAAGGATGTGTGAGAAGGTAGGTCACGTTCCCATTGTTCGTCTAAGGACGCCAGAGGCTGCGAGACTGAGCGCGCTTTCTTGAAAATAAACTCACTGAACTCGGTGCGACTCGGAGTGGACAAGTAAAGGAACGCTACTGTGCAGCCCCCAGTCACGGAAGTAAATCCATAGTTTGTGGATACCCAGCTCAGAGCAATTCTGGGTCAGAAACTTCAGGCAAAGTGTGGTGGTTTAGGCACAATCCTGTGTGTGCTTAGCAAAAAGTCTTATAACTCGAAGCACAGCTAACTGGGGCATGCTGGGAGTTATTTTTCTGGCTAAACATGTATAGGATTGCTCCTTTATATTCTTTAAGACTGTCCTATGAAATGAACTCGTTTAACAGTGGAGTCCTACATTCTTGTTAGTAAATTCCACTGAATCTTACTACATGTATTAACAGGTACCCCACTAACTGTACTCAAAATTTAAAGATGCATATTTGCAACTTTGTATTTGTAAAGTTGCAAAATAACTGTAATAGTTTTACAATTATAATTTCTTAGCAACATTAATTTGCTTTTATTATCTTGGGCCCTGCACCAATGCTTCAAACCCTAATCCCAAATTTTTGCTGTTGGGTATAGACACATCTCTGGCATAAAAAGTGAGGTGAGATTATCATAGTGGTGTTCTGGTTCAAATGCTGTACAATTAACTAGAAATCTGTGCCTGTCTTCTCAAAAGCAACTTCCACTGACCTCAATTTCAAGTGATTGTGTACAAGATCAAGTTGCATAATTCAGATGACCAGTTTTGGGGCCCATCCATTACAGCAAGGATACATTGCTGGAGGTTAGGGAGGACCTCCGCCTTCCCACTTCCACTAATGTTTCTTCCTAAGGGTTTCCAGAAGATCATTCCTTATGTATCAAACATATCATTTCCTAACATTCCTGTTGTAAACCTCAGCAAGCACACTTACTTGGAGGGGGGACCCATTGCAATCAATAGAACTTCAAGGAATCATGCACAGAATTGCACTGTGAGTTTATAATGAAGACCCAGCTTAAAAGTCTAATGCAAAAGAAAAATTTAAGGACATCAAGTTGCACCTGTGTCACCAGAACTGTCTGTGAAATGACTTTTTCCTTCCTCCATTTGCAAATGCTAATCATTTTTAGCACAGGCCTATGTATGCCCACAAATAGATGGGGAAGAAATGGAAGTAGTGACAGATTTTATTTTCCTGGGCTCCAAGATCACCGCAGATGGGGACTGCAGCCAAGAAATTAAAAGACACTTGCTCCTGGGGAGGAAAGCTATGTCAAATCTAGATAGCATACTAAAAAGCAGAGACATCACCCTTCCAACAAAAGTGTGTCTAGTCAAGGCTATGGTTTTCCCAGTTGCAATGTTGGCTGTGAAAGCTGGACCATAAGGAAGGCTGAGTGCCGAAGAATTGAGGCCTTTGAATTGTGGTGCTGGCAGAGACTCCTGAGAGTCCCTTGGACAGCAAGGCGATCAAACTGGTCAGTCCTAGAGGAGATCAACCCTGACTGCTCTTTAGAAGGCCAGATCCTGAACTGAAACTCAAATACTTTGGCCACCTAATGAGAAGGAAGGACTCCCTGGAGAAGAGCCTAATGCTGGGAACAATAGATGGCAAAAGAAGAAGGGGAGGGCAGAGGAGGTGGTGGCTAGATGGAGTCACTGAAGCAGTTGGTGTGTGCTGGAGTGGACTCTGGGGGATGGTGGAGGACAGGAAGGCCTGGAGGAATGTTGTCCATGGGGTCGCGATGGGTCGGACACGACTTTGCGACAACAACAACAACAACAATGTATGCCCACAAGGGTTGGGATTTCAGTTGGAACTTCATTACAAGGCTTTGCTCCTGTAGAGGTCCACCATGCCTAATGCATAACAGACAACAGGGTAGTGCCTATGGCACGGCCCTGTGGTGTAATGAAGTTTCCTTTGTGTGCATAATGCAAGAGTGGAGCCTGGGGGCCAGATTTGACACCCCCCAGGGCAACAGTTTTGGCCCTCCAGTATTTTCTAAATGGCCCTATGCTCTTTTTGCTGCCACTATTAGCCATCTCCCGGTTATGACTCCCCGCCACCTTTTCTTTTTTGTTTAAGTTTTCATGCCTCTCCAAAGACTTAGTTACTGGCAGCAAAGTCTTTACACTGTAAGATGTTAATGTTCTTTGTATTTTGGTCCTATATCTTTTGCCTCTGGTCCTGCCCGCTTTGCTTTTGGCCTTGCCCACCACTGCAGTGCAGCCCCCACAACTCCTCCAAAATAGAATTTGGCTCTCAGACTGAAAGAAATTCCCCACCACAGTAGAATATGAAGGGGGCATGGGCCATCAACTGAAGCCGATGGACAGTATATTCAAGACAGACAAAAGGAAGTGTTCATTCATTTATGGAAGTTGCTGCCTTGAGGTATGGTCATAGGCACTAATTAAATGGCTTTAATGAGGAATTAAGAACATTTGTTGAAGTTAAGCTTAAAAGTGCCTAAACTCAGACTTCCCCAAATAGCTGCCCTCCAGATACTGGTATCAGTCTACAACTCCTGTAATCTACAACTCTACAACTCCCCAAAGAGGTCCGCCTGGCACCGTCGTTACTGGTTTTTCGGCGCCAGGTAAAGACCTTTTTATTTAAACATCATTTCAATTGTTAAAACATATGATCTGGCCGGGGCAACTTCTTCTTCCTTCTCTTTCTCCTCCTATATTTTTATTTTATACTGATAATTTTAATTTTGTATTTGTAAATCAATATATTTTTTTGTATTTTTATATTTAATGGTAATTTATTATGTACTATTGTATTTCAATGTATTTTATCATGTTGTAAGCCGCCCCGAGGTTTCGGCAAGGGGCGGCATAGAAATGTTATAATCATCATCATCATCATCATCATCATCATCATCATCATCTCTGGAAGGCACCCACTTGGGGAAGGTTGAGTCTTCTGATGCACAGCCTCCAGCTTCAGACCTTTGGTAGCTCAGTTGCTGAGGAACATGAGGAGGAGAGGGAGCTGCTGCACTCATGCCCTGGTTAGTTGTGAGCTTTGCAGAGGCTTTGGGTTGGCCACTGTGGGAATGGAATGTGTATCAAGATGACCTTTGCTCTCATCCAGCAGGACTTCTCTTATCTTTTAGCAATAATGCCATGTGTTAATACTGCTGCAACGGATGGGGGTATTTTGGTTGCTCTGATAAGTCTTGAACCATTTCAGACTTCTTTGCACTTGCTCAACACTGTGCTACTGTCTTTGAAAAATGAAGCAACAAGTGTGCTGTGTATTAGCAAAGCTCTAAGAATGCTTCATGCAGCCTTGCTCTTAATATTAAGTGGAAAACAAAAGAACTCTCAAGGAATTTGAAGATATTAATGAGCAGGCATTGTTATCGGCACTCAGAACCCCTCAGTGTTTGGCTCACATGTAGGCTAAGCCAACTTCAGACAAAATTAATTACAGCCACACCTACAGGCAAGACACGTTGAAAGAATATTACTTATCGCTTTTGAAGTTCCCAAAGCACCTCTTGCCCATGGGAGCATGGCAGCGTATATGAGCGACAGACACTCAGTTGTTATTAATTTATGCAACCCTTTCATCTAGCTAATAGTGTCTGTGGAACTGTGTGGATGTGCCAGGTTATAATGCTTGTCAGAGCAGGACTTTGGGACAGAAGCCCAGGATCCCACATAACAGAATGACCAGGAGAGCCCCTACATGCAACATGGTGATACGTATTACCATCTAAAGAGTGGTGGAGAGGAGCACAAGAAGTCAGAAATTACCCAACTGCATCACTGGTGCTGGAATTTCTTGAGGAAAAGTTTAGGATGCATTGACCAGGCCTCAGCAGCTTTCCAACTCTATCAGCAGACATTACATGACTATAGTGATAAGGTTATGCATTAGAAGAACTTGGTGGGGAGGCATGCTGAGGGGCTTCTGGGTAATTCCATACTTGTTTAAAATGGCCACCTGTGAGAGTGCTTTCCTCTGTACCTTGCAGTGCAAAGCCTTCTTTGATTAGGGATTTGGACTAGATTGATCTCCAAGATACCTTCCAACTTTATGAATCTATTTTTTTTTCTTGAAGGTCATGATTTTCAGATTGCAACTAGATGTTGGCACTCATGTTGCATCTGCTTGGCCCATTTTTTACATGATGTGAAGTCTTGCCTTTCTTTCAAGAGACAAAATAGTGAGAAATCTTGTGTTAACCTTTTATAATGGTCATTGCTGTGCCTTTCCGTAATTGTCTGAGCTTTTATTTTGGGGGTTTTCTTATGATGAGCTTCCACCATCCATCCCTTAGATGTTATTTTGTTTGCAAATTTCTTTCAGAGTCTGCCAGCTATAAGTTGGCCAGTCTTGCCTTATGCTGGCCACCTATTCCTAGGGAGGGCTTTTCATCTTTAGGCCTGATACAAAGCCCATCAGATCCCATTTCTGCCTCTTGTTTGCATAAGAACCATCAGCAGGAAAAATAATCCCCTCACAGACAGAGTCATAATGCAGTAATATTATGCATCCATATGGA